ATGATTTAATTGAAAAAAAATAATATAGAGAGATATTATTATAATTATTCTTAAATATATAGGGTAAAATTATTTTTTTTGGGTCGGGTCGGGTTGGATATTTTTCACCCTAAACTCAAATTTGACCCGACCCAAATATCACCTTTTAAAAAATCCGAACGACCCGAACCTAATTTTCTAAAAAAAACCAACCCGATCGGGTATGATCGGATCGGAACCCGTCAAATTCGGGTCTCATGTCCATCCCTACATGTACCTGACAAATAGGGATTACCAATTAGTTTTAAAAGAAAAAATATAAAAAAGTTATTTATTTATGATGAAACTTTGAAGCAAATGATATAAATGGATTCATTATCCAATTGTGGAGCTTATAGTGTAACTGGGTTCCTGTAGCATACTGGGAAACCATGAACATTACGGTACTATAATTAATATTTGATAGTTGACACTGGCATTAATTTATCGGAGGCTCCAAACAACAATTATGAAATTACCAACAAAAGCAAAAAGTCAAAGGAATAACATGTGACTTGACGAAGCCTTAACTACCATTACATCATCGTCACCTTCCTTAATCCTTAGCAACTAAAACACTTCATTATCATTCGTTCATGGCTTCCATTTTTACACAATTATCTAATTCAAACGATTATTTTCCCACCCATTAATTAAATAAGGTTAGTTGGTATTTGATAACACATGGAGGAAACGAAGTGCATTGCATGGATAGTCTCTAGTGGATTTCTTTTGTTACATATTTTTTTAATAATTGCTTCTCTATTATCCTATCCTCGCGGCTCTCGTTGGGCTTTTAAAGACGGTTTTGTTTTGTATTAAGAAAGTCAACAAAGAGCCCTCCATGGGAGGGCAACCCATCATTTAAATAAAGCTTTTTTTTAGTTTCTTCAACCGTAAATTAATTATAAACAAATCTTGGGTTCATGGTACAATGCTTAACCAAATGCTGCTAAAGGCGTGAAGCACTTTGCAATATAATACATTATATGGACTAATCATGGAGACTAAAAAAACTTATCATCCAACAACAACAACATATATAGACTCTTAATTTGCATATAATTTAATAATACGAAATTATTCAATATTACAAACTACTATCTTTAGTGTATGTATAAGCCTGTAAACGAACCGAACGATGTATGTTTATATTCGTTCGTTTAACTTTAACCAAACAAATGAACGAACACGAACATAAATGAACAAAAAATTTCTTGTTCGTGTTCGTTCGTTAAGGAATGTAACTTGTTCGTGTTCGTTCATGTTCGTTCGTTTAAATGATAAATGAACATAAATGAACGAACATAAATGAATGGATGTAAATGAACATAAATGAATGGATGTAAATGAATATAAACGAACGTAAATGAACACAAACGAACGAACGTAAACGAACACAATAAACGAACGTAAATGAACGTAAACAAACATAAATGAAAATATTTTTTTTCTTTCCTAACAATTTTAGGATTATATCTTATTTAATTGCTTGTTTGGGGATTTTTTATTTGTATTTAAAATTAATTGAATTTTAAAATATTTATGGGTATCAAATTAAAATTTATTGAGCTTTAATATTTAAAATGGGTCTAGAGATATTGAGCTAAACATAAATGAACGCACATAAACGTAAATAACGAACATATTATCGAACATTCATGAATGTAAATGAACGAACGAGCCATCTGTTCGTGTTTGTTCATTTAATTAAACGAACACAAAATCTTGTTCATATTCATTCGTTTAATAAATAAACGAACAAAAATGAACTTCCCGCCGAACAGTTTACGAACGGTTCATTAAACATTCGGTTCATTTATAGGAATATGCATGTCTTAATAACGTGAGACTACTTAACATTACAAACCACTAATATATACAAAAAGAACATTATAATTTGTTTAAACTTTTATTCGAGTAAAAACATGGACGAACATATGATTTTATATCATGAGTGCAAACTTAGAAAGATTATAAATTTAAATATACGAGATTACAAAGTTTCAAGAGATAAAAATTATATCATAACAAAAAATACACAAATTATACGAAGATTTAAAACTTGTAGGGTTACTATTGCATTCTCAGCACCCCTTCAATCTATTTCTTAGTAAAAAAATGAATAATTTTTTTTTAAGAAAGATGGTGAAAACCATGGCTCATATTTGAGTTGGTCTCACTTACCATGTTCATACTTGACAAAGTGACAGTCCGTTTCGATGAATGCAAACAAATTGGTGGACATTGTTGACTTGAACCATGTTTGGGAAAACAAAAAGTAGAAACATGGTCCTGAATTGCCGACACAAGGAGGGAATTGAAGCAAAACCACCCAAAAATCGTGTTATCGAATTAAACTGTCGGCATTACACTAAATTAAAAGAAACGTTTCAACATTAGAGGGAAGATGTTTTGGCGGGGCATAGGGTGTAGAAAATGGGGGGGCTCACCCATGTCAACAGCTCAGGTGTCTGGCGAGCAACAAGAAGAACCGATGCATGGGCGTTGTTGTCTCACAAAGTTTCAAACATCAGAGTCAGAGACATAACCTTGTGCTTTCAGATATTGCTATTATAAACATCTCCATTTGACTTTCCAAAACATATTATATACATAGGCCTACTCAGAGAATAATTATATATAAAGAATTCAAATTTTAAATCAGTTGATATTCTTTACCCTCTCTCTTTCTCTATAGAAGTGAGCACGTAATTCATGCATGGGAATGCACAAGTAAATGTGTTGATCAACCTCTTTAAAAATATTAGTTAAACTTAAAATGAAATGGATTAAAAATTATTATTTTTATTTTAAATGGAATTGTTGACATAAAAAAATAATTAAAATACATTACAAAATATAAAACGAGTATGGCATAGATAGAATGTTCATTGGCAATGCATTATAGCTAAAAAAATTGTAATTCCTACTCAAGCCCATTAGAACCCAGGCTCGATAAGTGGGAATGATGAATAAACCATTTTTATTATTTTTAAAAAATATATATTAAAACCCCATTAAGCCCATGAGAATCTTGTTACTTTCTTTTGTCTCTGCAATGAGGACAGTAACAAGTCTTCACATTTCCAATATTTTCCTTCAAGGGCAGCAACATGTCTGCGAAAAAAAATTGTTCAAAACATCTATCGTCAATCCTCAACAGGATTTAAGTTCCACTTCTTGACATGAATAATGAAAACAGAAATGAATCCAATCATACACATTGGGAAAATATAGTGTCATGCACTGAAACAAATATTATATCTCCTACGACGATGTCGGTCCATTACTCTTTGGAGCCTTCGGAGCATTTCTTGTTCAGTGAATATTCTACCAGGGTAGCTTAAAATGACACTTCTTTGAATCGGAGGAGACCAAATTTCACTCCTTGAATAATCGAAGTTGAATTCAGACACATCAGGAAACTTCTTGAGAAGGCGGTCGGATACATGTTTAGGAACCACTTGAACCTTAACAGGAGATGGGAGAGGCAAATTAGAAGGTGAAGATGAAAAGACTTCAAAGCTTGACATTGATGGGAAAACACAACTGAGCACAAAAATAAGCTTCACAAAGAGAACAACAAGATACTTATGTTCCTATATAAGATTCAAATCATCCTGTTGAATTTATTAACATGATCATTATGTTCAGGAGCATGGCCTGCAGATTTTGACACAGAAAATTAATTCTGCTCACACTGCAGGGCTGACATAGGAAGATTCTAGAGTTGCAAAGCTAAAGACCAAAAGAAATTAAAAAATGTGTGCAGTTAAATGAGTTCCATTGTTTTCTTCTGAAATTTTGGAGCTCTTGTGTACGTTTTACCAAAAACAATCTTTTTTGTGCAGGACCTTACAGGTTGAAAGTGGGAAGCGGTAGGCCCTTTGCATGGCAACTTATTGGATGCTGAACTCGGTGAATCTTTTTAAGTAGGGACACTGAACACTGTCCCTGTCCAAAGAAAAACACAACTTAGACTTGGGAAAACCATTTTCTCCCACTTTCTGAGTTCCCATCTGTTAAGCAAATCTGTTTTTCTGAGGCATGGTACTCATCCGGTTGCAATTTTGCATGGGATGAGTTTAGCGAAACTCTAGTTTATAAAACAAGGTTACGGGCCAGGCTTGATTTAGATGTCCACCCAGTATTTAGTCCTGACCTACCCATTTAAGTTTTTATTATTATTTTTGAATTCAGAAAACATTAATTATTTATGTAGTACTTTAGTAAGTGTCACTGCGTGTAATAAAGAGAGAGAAAAGGTATGGTGGTTTTCTAAAAGAAAGATCAAAGTTGTTCCAACAGTGAATATGATGGGTGATTACTTGTTGTAGAGTGCCCATGCTCATAAAGGTTCATTGCTTAGACCCTTCAAATTTTAGCTGTCATTTGCTCCTCCAATTACTCCAAATAAGAGCTATGTATATACTTTAATTGTTTAATAATAAAGATGGTATATTTGATGATAACAAAGATCAAGAACATAGATCGAAAAGCAGAGTACACTTAACTGGGTAACCAAACAGCAAGACTCGTGTTCTTAAACCTCAACATCCATTTCTTTTTCAATAACCAACAACCAACCCCATTTATGCACAAACTAAAAACACAACAAAGATCTCAACATCAGCATTCAAGTCACTTTAAAAACCTTCAACTTGAAGGTTCCATTTTCTCTAGATAGAAGGACCAAAACCAGCAACAAATTGTGTGCTGTAAATACTTTTAACCCATCTAAAAAACACTGTAGAACATTCTTTCATTTTAACACCTAAAAACACATTATTGCACACATTTTTAATAAATTTATGTTAAAAGTTAAAGACCAAGATGATCAATTCAGTCTCCAATTTCCACTCGGGAGTCAACTCCACACACACAGCGAGTGGTCTTTTACACCTCCAAATTCTAACCCGAATGGAAAGGGAAAAAGTATATATTTTATATATTTTTTTTCTAGGGGAGATCTTAAAGTTGGAACGAAACCCTCCTTCACACACTCTTTCTCTCTCATATTCACTCGAAACTAAGTAAAAGGGAAAGTGAAGGAGGGGAAATAGTTATAGCAGTGAGTTTTGAGGAGTGAAAGATGGCTGGTTACAGGGCAGAGGATGACTATGACTACCTTTTCAAGGTGGTGCTGATCGGTGATTCAGGAGTAGGGAAGTCTAATCTGCTCTCTAGGTTCACCAGGAACGAGTTTAGCCTCGAGTCCAAGTCCACTATTGGTGTTGAGTTCGCTACTCGTAGCTTGAATGTTGATGGTAAGGTCATCAAGGCTCAGATTTGGGACACTGCTGGTCAAGAAAGGTCTCACTTTTCCTATTTCCTTGTCTTTATTTATTTTTGGACTGAATATGCTTAGCTCTCTGCTGATTTGCGAATAAAGGTTAGCAAATATAGAAACGGATTTTTGTTCCCTTGGCTGTCTGCCTGGGGAAAGAAAGCAACTTCGATACTGCTAGACATTTTTTTAAGGTGATTCTGCTGGAGTTTGATTCGATCTGAAATTGGATTCAGCAAATTTCCTTTTAGCTTTGCAGTAGAAAAAAGGAAGTTCTTGCTCTAGCTTATCTTGATCTGTGAGCAGCCTGTGTTTAAATGGTATTGTGGTTGCTTTTATTTTACTAATCTGTTGTTAGATTTAGTTTGTTTTCCTAATGCTAATGTGCTTGGTTTGCAAATAGATCGAACATAGATTTGAGATTGGATCAGCAGATCTAGAATTATCTTCATATCGTGATCTTTTTATATGAGCTGTTAGTATTTTATAATTGTTATTAATGGCTTTGACAATGAGCCAGAAGCGAAGTGATCATGCTTTGCAGTAATATGTTTGCTTCCTACTCGATACAATACATGGTTCAACTTTATCACAGGGCTAAAATTGCAGTATAATAATCTAGTTAGCTCGTCAGAGTTCTGCAATAAGTTGGGTTTAGAGAAACTGACAACTGTATCCGGCTTGATGATAATGCCGGTTTTTCTTTGTTACTTGCCTGCTTCCCCATTTTGTAGTAATAAAGAACTGATGATTGCTTGTTTCATGAGTGTAGGGAACCTGCTAATCTAGTTTAGCATAAAATCTTGTTTGGTGTTCAAGTTGTGACAGGGAATTGTAACTAGTTTTTGTTTAATTGGTGATGGAAGTAATGGCTTGAAAACTAAATAGATGTCAGTTGTTTAGAGGGACCTTTAAGTCATTGTTCGTATTAGTATCCAGGATGTTGCAGGCAAGGATTAGTGCTTTAGTAAATTGTTTTTTTCTTTTGTTCTTTGTGATTTGGAAGCTGTAACTTCTGTTTCATATGATTTCTTTTGCAATGTGGAAATTACTATTTTTTACCACTCGAGTTTAAGGGGCTTCTAGCTTTTTTTAGTCGAGTAATGTTGTAGTTGAGCACCTAACTATTATAATCTGGGTGAGATACTTTGTTGAACAATATTGATTTGACAGTGTGTTGTTAATTTTAGTTTATGAAAATCAAACATTTCCCATATGAAAAGTCACTTGGATCCTAGGGCCTGAGCAAACTCCTCATTCATTTCTTTGAAAATGAAAACGTAAGGTTCTCACTTCATCCTTGGAATAGCAGGAAGACTGGGTTAGGTAAACTTGATAATAAGCCCAGAGGAAAAATAAAAACATCCGATTTAGCAATTTTTGTGCCGATATATGTAATCTCTGTATAGTTTGGATTCAGATAAAGATTGATGAAATTGCTTTCACATCAGCTGCTCTACTGTAGTTTTTATCTCAGAATGAAGAGATGCATGAATGAACCCTTGATTTCTAGGGGAAATGGGTATAGTGTTAATCAGGGTTGATGAGGTTAAATGGCTGGATAGTTCTTGCATTTAAAGTCCAGTACTTTTGCACTCAGATGAGAGTTTCGGATAAATTTGTTCTAATTCCAGATTTCTGACATCTTGTAGAATCCATCTGCCCCATGCTATTCTGCTTCTTTTGTATTATTTTCTGAACTCCTCTGCTCACACTGTTAGGTATCGTGCCATCACAAGTGCCTATTACCGAGGAGCAGTTGGTGCGCTACTTGCGTACGATGTTACCCGACACTCCACATTTGAAAATGTCGAGAGGTGGTTAAGAGAGTTGAGGGATCACACCGATCCCAACATCGTGGTCATGCTCATTGGCAACAAATCAGATCTTCGACACCTTGTGGCTGTGCCAACCGAGGACGGGAAATCCTTCTCGGAGAAAGAGTCCCTCTACTTCATGGAAACTTCAGCCCTGGAAGCTACTAATGTGGAGAACGCGTTTGCAGAAGTTCTTACGCAGATTTACCATATCGTAAGCAAGAAGGCGATGGAGACCAGTGATGAAGGGGCTGCTTCAGGTGTCCCTTCCAAGGGGGAGAGAATCGACGTTGGTAAAGATGTGTCTGCAATGAAGAAAGGGGGTTGCTGCTCAAGCTAAGGATGTAACATTAGAATCTGCAATATATGATGCAAGCGATGGGATTTCTTTGTAAAACCTTGGGTTTTGTAAAATTTTTCTAAAAAATGGTACCTACAGTGGACCGGAATTGATTTATTTTTACATTAAAAAGTTTTTCTAATGGCTGTTAATTTTAGTCCATACTACTTATGAAGAAAAACGCCAGCATATGCAATTGCTGAGCGTTGTAGATTGGCACACACATTAATTAATTAATGGCTAACCCTTTTATGATAAGCCATCTTATGCTGGCATTTGTCGTATTTTATGTGCGCAGTAATGGAACGGATGGGAAGAAATTTATTAAAAATAGTAAAACTTTTATATACATCATCATAGCTCATTGCTGACGTTACCCCTCCTCTATAATATGTTTAGTTGCAAAATCTATTACTAATACATTTCAAATTACATAATTAAAAGAACTTTTATATTAAATTTGGCTTAATTTCAATTGTTAACCAATTAAAAACAATTTAAACGTTTGATCTTTAATTAAACATCAACTTGGGCCCCTCTTCAACCCCTCCTATACTATTATCATAATTGAATAATAACAGGAATTATAATATTGCAAATTTCTTTGGCTCGGGTTTAGCAGGGGAAGAAGCTTAAGATACAAGCAAAGGTTAGCTTAATCTAAAATAAAATAAAAAAGTTGAGGTTTGAAAGAATGATAAGAAAATATTTTTCAGATGATGAACAAACTTTTCCAGGCCACAGCATATCGTAAAAGTCAAAGTTTTTGTAAAGTCCCAACTTCTAAAACTCGCTCAAATATGGAATTTCCAAGAGAAACTCGGTCAAAAGTGGTTATAGGTTTATATGCCTCGAGATCCGATTAACCTTTTTTTATTACTCCATTTGACAAGGTGTGAAAAGGAAGAGGTGAGGAAGAAAATATGAAAATAACAAAGTCTAAAACGGCTAACTGCCATTATTTGTTTTCTTAAGAAGAAAGATAGGCTGGATATTTGAGAATAAAGAGATGCTGCTGCGAATCCAGATAGTTTTGTTTCTATTCAATCGAGTCCCTTAGAGCTTAAACGGACGGCAACGGCAAATATTGGTAAGCCACAACAATATGACGACGTAATTTGGAATTTCGGGACTATTATTCATATACCACACCGAAATCAAAGCCAAATTAAATTGTGAAAGGAAAAAAGATATATCCAAAGAAATTCTAAAAGGGGTAATAAATGTAAGAGTTTTTCTGAAAAATGAAATTTCGTTTTTTTTCCCTGTCGTCTCCGTTTTGTATTTCCTATATAGATGACGATACGCACCGCACGACGTTGAAACCAAGGAATCCTCCGCCAATTACAAATTGTTAATAATCCACGTGTCTGTAGATCCCGACCTGTGGTCCCACATTCGGCTGGACACAAACGAGCACTCGGGCAACTCGCCGAGATCGGCGAATAACGACTCGTCCTCTTCCTTCATTGGGAAAATCATCGCCACGTCGGCATCGCAGTTATCCCTTTCCGTGAACAGCGGGCTCTCCAAAACCGTCGAAGAGGTCGTTTCCATTTCCCCAAACCAAGCAAATTCATCCCCTGTTGTAAGAATGGAGTCGTCCGTCAAATCAGCGAACCTCTCTTCCGTCCCTGATTCCTGTTCCGTATCATGTTGCGACGTAGATGGCTCGGACTTTACAGCGGTTTTAGTAGTAGTTGGTGTCTCCTCTACAGCCACCGCCGCTGACGCGGCAGCAGCAGCAGCTTGTTTAGCGGCGGCGCTGTTGTTTCTAGAAGCGGGCCAAGGGTGATTGTGTTCGCAGGAATAGGTGATCACTAACATTTTAGGGTCCACACGACTCCTCTCAACTTGTTTCCTCGCCGGACATCCTTTCGAGCTACTACAACGATAATATCCTCTGCCGGCCGTAAGATCAAAAAACAGAAACCATAATCAAGGGTTGGTAATTTTAGAACCCTAAATTTTGAAATTTATTTCCTTCGATGCAGAGAAACGTTAGTTAATTTTAACTGCTAGTTACTTCGCCTTTACCTGGGATAAGGAGAGCCTTTGATGGGTTTCTGGCCGTACTTTCGCCAAGCCCAAGAATCGGACGGTGGAGCACTCTCACCTTTATAGCGGGAACCTTCAACGTCCTTGATCGGCACTGACAGTACTCTTTTCTGTATGGATCTTCTACTGTAATAAAAACCCCATCACGTCAAAACAAAAAAATTAAAACATGCAAACAACGTACGTAACAGAAGTTTACCCTTTTTTATGCGAGTGTTTGATGTCGTTGAGCGTGGCAGAAGGAGGAGAATCGACGCCGGTTTCTGATGAAACGTTGTTATCTTCAAATTCTTGTTCAGTAACATAAGGGTTACAAGCTTTGTTGAAACTACTATCACCACCGTCCATGACTGATGATTGAGCGTTGATTAATCCCAGAGAGTGGTTGTTAGGCGAAGAAGAAGAAACAGAGAGGGTGGCTCTTTTAAAAATGGGGGGAGAGAAGGGGGCGGCAAGTTGACAGATTGGGTTTGGGCATTAGTTTATAGAGGACGTGCAAAGCAAATTGTTGATATAAATCCTAGCTTTTATTAAAATACGACATGAATATGACACGCTTTTTAATATATTATTTTATATCTTTATTACATCTGTTTGGAGTTTTCCCACTATTTATCGCCTTTTGTTTATGTAATTGATACAATGTAACTACTCTGGCTGCTTTTGTTTAGGATAGACCGTGGCTTGGAATGGATCTCCGTTATTTCTTATGTATACTGTATCTAATTCGAGTAATTTTATTATATTATAATTTATTTAATATTTTTAATATTTTATTTAAATTTAAATTAATAAATGTTTTGGGTATTTATAAGCCAATCGATTTTAGCGTGGCTAATTACGATTTAATTGATAATATTATTAATAATAAGAAAATGAGTAACGAATTATAGTATAGACAACAAAAAATAAGTGTCAATGCCATTTAACTATTAGAATAATAAATCTATTGATCATTAAAAGTATTTCTCGGCTAACAATTTTTTGAACTAATGTTTCTTAACTACATTTAACTTGGGCTGTTGGAGCTTAATATGCAATATATTTTTCTTCCAAAATTAGCTATGAACTACCCATTATTAATAGTTTTGGATACATATAAAATGAATCAATTGCTTGTTAATTTTCTTTTTAATTTTTTGTTACTAGGACGCGATGTAAGTTTTGATGTTGGTTGTCTTCGTCGGTTTTTGTTTTTACTTTTAATTTGTTTTTTTGTTTTTATTTTTAATAATTCTGCTTTTATGTCACAATTTTTTCTGTCTTCATGAAAAATTTTCTTTGCCTTTACGCACATTTTCAATTTTATTTTTCGGTTTTTTGGTCGTCTTTGTCGTTTATTTTTTCTCAGGGTTAGATTCGATGTCGTCACAACTGATTAAGATGTCACTCATCTGTTATCCCACTTATCTTTCATGTTTTGAACCATTGAACTAGATTGGATACATAACCTACGTTCGTAGATGTTTTTCTCACGATGCTTGGATCTGATTTGTGTTTATCGGTGGTCTTTCAATAGTTTATTCCCCTGTTGTGGTTCATTTGCCGTAGCAATCAGATCTATTCGTAGCTTCCTATTGTTCGAGTTTTTTTTAATGGGGTTTTCACATTCACATTGTATGGTTTATATACGATCTTAAGTTGTTTCGTTTTTTTTGTCTTAATGTTTATAGAAGAATATATTGATTATGAGGTTTAGTTTATGATTCTTATTGTGAGTCCTCGTTATAATTTAGATATTTTTTTCTTAATAAAATAAGTTGTTTTTTCTGAAAAAGAAAAAGAGTTTTGGCTACATATACTCATATGCTTGAAATGCAAAAGTATAATTATTTAATTAGGGTAATATGTATTCCAATTAAGGAGAAGAGAAAAGTGACGCAGGTATGGCCTCTGGTTGATTAGTTAGGTTAAAAATTGAACTTTTGAGAACGCCTTTTCCTTTTTATCTCCTTTGCCTGTTTTTTAAATCAAAAGTAAACTAAAATTGGTATATATTCTATTAGTTATTTTGGCATCTATTAACTAAAGAAACCATCTACGTACCTTCGATCTTTTCAAAATCAAACCCACAAAAAATCAGAAGAAAAAACACACACACTTTTGTCAAGTCTCACGTGGTGTTTTCGTAACAATCGAGGAAATCAAAAGTTATCCATTTGCTTAATTAATTACAGATTTATAGTTATGTAATTATATTAATCAATTATAATAAACACGATAATTAAAGAATAAATAAATATAAATGTTTTAATATGGGTGGAGACTTTTATCAACCTTGGGCTCGTCTTAGTTCTTTACATCAACAACACCTTGTTAACACCGTCGCTCCTAATAAACTAAAAACACTAATGCCTTCTCACTTAATAATTAAAGAGACCCCCCAGCTGAGCTATCACTACATTCGAATTAAAACCAAAATTTTCAAGAAAGATTTCACTTTTCTAACTCACATCAAACGCAGTTTGTCTGTGATTACAAGCTAATGGATAAAAGAATACATTTAATGATTTGATCGTCCATGTTTTGTTTGATTATGAAGAGGATATATGTCATGCAAATATAATATTTAAACATTTTTTCTTCTCTGTTGGGGGGAAATCATGGGAATTTACAACATATACGATCATGTTTCAGTGTTTTATGGTTGTATTACAAACTAATACATTTTTGAAATCCTACAATTAATATCGTTGACTGATTCAGTAATTGAGGGAGAAATAATCATTGTAGAGTTCATGGATGCGTGAAAGCAACGTGATTGTGATTCCTTTTTTCTTATTCAGAATTCATATCAAGTATAAAGGTATTTTTTATCATAAGCATTGAATGAGTGTTATTAATTACGAGCATTTTAAAAATCTTGCCATCTCTGACTTCCCATGCCTACGGCATCACCCTTGCCACCCCTCGATCCAGCCTTCAATAAATAAACCTGCTTTTTAGCAACATGTATGGATTTAAATTAAGGAACAGAAACTTCCCCGTGCCTTCTTATTTACATTTATTATCTCTTGGAAATCACTCCTAACTGGAAGGAAAAGAAAGTGCTTTATATTTCATAAAATCGTCAGTGGGATCTCAACATCCAATGGAATGTAGTCCACATGCTTAATTGTTCAGATCCATGTAATATGGGATCCAAAAGTTAATCCAATCGACGTGGATAAACCCTGCTTAATTACTTCCAAATTAATCATGAATTTGGCAAAATAATATGGGATCTCAACATCATGAGTTTATTTGGTAAAATCATCCTAATAAGAAATATATATATTTTTTGTGTCCGTTAATGACATAGTGTTTGAACTGAGGGGCACATCTAAATTTAAAGTCCATGCAACTTTGGTTAATTGAAACTCCATTTTTGCCCGGTGGGAACTACTCTAACTCTAATAGCTTCGTTGTTTTAAGTTTTATCCATAGGAATAAGTGCAAGTAATTGATACATAATAACTATAGATGGACCCCATAACCATTTAAGAAGTGCACCAAACCCTCAAAGATAATATAAATATAGAGAGAGACGTAATGAAATGTTTTAAAAAATTGGAACAATTTTATCATCTTCTTAATCACGTTAATCAATGTTTAAATAATTGGATAGTCAACGAGTTTACAAAATATCTAATATAGACTTTTCTTTTCACTTAACATATAAAACTTTAGACTTGTAAGAGAAAAAAAAGAGACAATTTTTAGATCGTTTAATTCAGTTATTTTAATGATATGAACTTATCAAATGATTTCGATAGTTAAAAAGTTTCGTATGTATTTTTAATAATAAAGAAAGATTCTGAACAGATATTTCGTTATAATTTCTCTGAACTATTCGAAAAATTATATCAATAATCTTAGTTGAATCACACCAGATTCTTCAACGTTTACAATAGTTTAATTTTCCACGGAATTGGAAAGTTTCATATTTGTTTATGGATGACATTTTTGTTTAATTGTCGTGTTACATCCAGATTGTTTTTATAATTCGATTTAGTTGAATTAGTGTTCCTTGTATGACAAAAATATTGAATTACTGAGCCTTGCATAAATCGAGTGTTTTTAATGGGTCGGAAGTTGCCCAAGTCCAAAACATCATTTCAGCCCATTTGTTTGCCAATATTTTTTTTAAAAATAAATTTGCTGTTAAAAATATATTTTAGTATTGATTTTCTGTATTATTATTTGGGTAACCTACACATTTGATCACTTTTGTTTGAGATTTATAAACCTATGGTCCCTGGATTCAAAAACCATAAGTTTTGGTCATTTACATTATAATTTTATCAAGAATTGGTCACCAAGACGTTAGTTGTCGTGAGTTGGATGACATGACACGTTAGTAAAAAGTTTTAATTTTTATTTTAACCCTTGAACTTTAGATAAATTACTAATTATGGGTTTTTTTGTAAATCCAAAATAGTTCGAGGATAAAATATAATTTAACCCCTTTTTTCATATGTTTTCTTCCCCAAACCTACCTTCTCCGCCGCTTCCCCTACTTCCTCTCTAAACCACTGGTAACACATTTAGCTTTTGGGAAAGCTTTTCGTTGGAAAACAAAAAGATATTGTATCAGTGACCAAATTTTAATAAAACGATAACGTAAATGACCAAAACATATGTTTTTTTGAATCCAATGACCATAGATTTATAAAACTCAAACTAAAGTGATCAAATATGTAGTTTACCCTTATTATTTTATAACATAATTTTTTTTTATTCAATTAATTAATTAATTAATTAATCTATATTAAAAAATTATTAAGATTCATTACGAGAAAAATCTCTTATCTCAATTTGTTTTATTTATAACACCAATATTTAATTCTTAAATATTATTTAAGAGATATAATATCTCGTCTTACTAAATTAATTAATAGTTATTTTTTTTTCTTTTACGAGCATATTTCCAATTCCTTATATTTTAGGTAGAATGGTGTTTAGACATCCATTTTTCTAGTTTAGTTATTTTAAGTACTAAAATTTTATTATATCTCTTTTGATTGTTTACTTTATTTTTCCTTAAATTAACCTAAATATAACATAACAATAACGGTGTTATTAAAATGACGTTAATTATTTGTGATTTTCTATCACATCCCAGAAAATGAAAAAAATGATTATTTGACTTTATTTAAATACTAAAATGAGTTTTCTTATAATATTTTTTAGCACTTTTAATGTTTTAGATGACGCGATAAAAAAGAAAATAGATGATGCTAATAATTTAATAAGAATAAATCAATTGATGTAAGATTAATGACTCATTTTTTTACAACTCATTTTTATTTTATCACATTTGGGCTAATTTAACAAAAATATAAAAGATTGAACACTAAATTAACTAATTGGTAAAGATGAAAGACTAAAAGGTCGTTCTACCTATCTTTTATTTACATAAAGGTGGTATAAAAAAATTATGTACATCAAGGTACGAGGATTTACAAGTAATCAGGGGAGGAAATAGGCGATAGAGTTGAGGAGGTCAATTTAAAACTTTTTTTAAAAAAAAGAGAGATTTAAATTAAAATTTTCAAAAACTTTGAAGAGTTCAGTTTTTTCTTTCAAAAAAATTGGGGTCTAATTAAAGTTTTTAAAAATTTGTGAGGCTTAATGAGAATTTTTAAAATTTATGAGAAGTGTTTAATTAAGAATATTCAAAAAATTTAAAGCTTAATATGAATTTTTTAAAATTTCGAGGGGTCAATTTATTCTTTTTGAAAATTTTAAGGATCTAAAACTAATTTTATTTTATTTTTTGGGGGCATATTCCATCCCCACTTAGTTCCGCCACTACAAGTAATATATAAGTGAACAGTTTTTTTTAACCTTTTACTAATTAATGGGTGGAGGATGAAATGTTTTTCAAGGGAATATAGATTGTAAAAGAAAGTAAAAAGTGTGAAATATGAGTGAATTTCACTCAATAACAATGCTTTAATGGTTTATTTTCATATACTTTTATCACTCATAACAAATTGCTAGAAAAGTCTATGTTGCTTAAAACTTTATAACCTAATATTATAGATTATATATTAACAAATGTTAAGCATTTCAGGTATCCATTGTCGTCCAGTGGTTAGGATATCTGGCTTTCACCCAGGAGACCCGGGTTCAATTCCCGGCAATGGAAAGCAATTCTTTTGTTAATCGAGATGCATACCGCAACTTTTATACCTTTTAAAAGTTTTATTTTTTAATCTTTTACTACCTGAGATGCATACCATACACACTGAATCAGACACAGATACCATTACGTTCTACATTTTAAAACCCCATGTATACGGAGATGCATACATGTCTAGACTCTAGATATCATACACTGTATGAATCATAACTTTTGCTTAATCTAACATTAGTATTCCCCGCAAAATCTTTCTATATATTGTCACCTCCTTGCTTTTCAATGGCCTTAAGGATAGCTTGAGTAATATCCTTGATATCGGTAGTTTGCAGGTCTTGAGCCTCAGCAATGGCTTCCATGGCAAAGAAATGACTGCAAGAAACTTTAGCTTGAAGAACGTTAAGACCCAGTTCTTCAAACGCCTCTAGAATTGAGATCAATTTGTCCCCTTCTTTGTTGCAACTCACTTTCACTATCAACTCTTCCCCAACCTTCTCCACCTTCACTTCCTGCTAACACCCCATGAATTATATACATGAACTTGAAAAAAAAACTGCTTAAATATTTGAAACCATAGATTACCTTTGGGATTTGTATATGCTTCAATAGAGTGAAGTATTGGTTTCTGATAGCCACAAGATTTTCGTACTCTCTGTGTATTTCTTCCAACTTGAGTTTGAGCTTGTGACACTGGAGAAGAACATTTAAGACGATGGACCTCCTTTTAACCTTTGAAAACAAAAAAACAAAAAAAGGGTCAAGTTCTTTTTCCTCTGAATAATATTAAAAGATCTCAAAATATTAAGACTACATATATATTTGTATTACAGATTTGGAGTTGTAGAGAGTTGGCAGAAACTGAAGCTTTCTGCGAGATGTTCTCCTTTGCAGCTGAGTTACCATTCTGAAACTTATCTTTGGATGTGTAAAATGTGAAGTGGTAGTAGTAGTAGTAGTATGATCTGAATGAAGTTGCCTAGCTTTTATAGGATGGGAAAGGGATGAGTAATTGGGAGAGAAGGGTAAGTTGGGATCCATAAATGCCTTTGCTTGTCTTATATGAATATTATTATAATATGATTAAGCAGGTAAAAAAAGCTTTATGATATTTGGATGCAACTATTGTATGATTGCTTTGATAACATATTAGGGTTGCTCTTATGTTCCATTTTTAACAATAACAAATTCTCTTTAGTGTTTCTTATATTTGATTATAATCCAATTTAACAACAATGCTATTTTTTATGATTCGTGACTATAGTTAGTGTGTCTTTACTTTTGGAATGTTAGAGTGGAATATTTGTGGAGTTGTGTAATTATTCTTTGTTGCTAACTTGGATTATGTTATTATAATGGAATGATTTTGAGCTACTTAATTAGATATTCACCACTAGGCATGTTTAATCATGTGACATCCTAACAAGGTCGGAAGCAGTTATGGAAACTATATAAAATAATAAGAGACGGAAAATATCATTAATTAACAGTGATATTAAAATAAAGGGTATACAGATTGTTATATGCTTCTCCTCTTTGATTGGTTAAATGACAGCAATAAAATAAAACAGGAAAAGGGCGGACATGAAGCCTGATGACAGAGTGATATTAGTGATTAAAATAAGGAAAAAGGGGGCCATTAAAGGCTAAAAAGAAATGCCAAAACGATAAGGCTAAATTGGAATGATGGATGAAATGGAGTAATGTGGTTGTCATATTGTCGTTTGGGTTGGCAATATTTGCATGGGAATTGAGAGTCAGATGAATGAGGAAGTAGATGGTGAAGTCGGGATCACATGCACAGGCCATCGATAGAGCCAAAAAAGGTAGAGTCAGACAATGTTTGTGTATATGTCTATGGCTTGGTGATGCTGAGGCATATTTGCAGAGGCTTCACGGGCCATTCTTATTGGTTTCTCCTTGTTTGTCCCCGGCAAGCAATCCCCTTAACTTGCCTTTGCCTGTCTGTGCCTGCTTGTGGCTTTGCAACCTCACATGCTCTCTCTGACACTCTCACATCTGTTTTATTCTTTATCGTTCTTCCTTCTTCTGGGGTTCATCATTTCCACTTTTTAAAATTATATCCAACTCTCTAGCTTTTCTGGCTTTCAAATTTCACCTACTTGCTTTTCAGGTTTGAAAGGTTGCATCATTTTCATTTCTTTAAAAAAAATAAAAAAATGATTGGTGGACTCAACAGTCACGAGTCTCGACTTTATCAAAAATAAAATTATTCCAAATTAAAAAGAAATACTCTCAATAATAAGCTAATTGGTCGAATGTATCTAGTATCGGACCAATCACCTAGTATCGTCAGAGCATGTTCAAAGCCTGGTGGTGATATTTTCCTATGCTTATGTTTCTGAATTGGAATGGTATTTAATTGGAATGCCCTGTTCATTACTATTTTATGCGTGGTTGGTTCTGGTGTCTTTTTGGGTGCTGATAAAACCTGTGAGCGTTGCGTTCGTCCCCTGGATCAACAAAAAGACCAAGTGTACAGCAGAGTACTTTGTCTGTCATCAATTACATTACTTTGTCCACTTCTCTAAAAGGTTTTATCATTCCTTCACAAGCATGCATCTGCAAGCTTCCATGAACACATAAGAAAAAGTGAAGATGTTAATAAATTACGGTATCCTGTTGGGAATTACCGAGTGTTCCTTAAATCACTCTAACTCTAGTGTAGCGGCACACCCACTCTCCTTTGAAACCCACTTATAGGGGTCCCTTTTATCTTTGTAATATAGTTGAATGCTTTGATAACAAAATCCATCTGTTTTGTTTGTCCATTTCTGCCTCTCAGTTTGAGAGAGGAGAGACTACTTTTTATGTATCCTGGCATCCAGGGAACCAGGAATCACATGAGCTAACAATGCAGCCTAGGCGAGCACTATACTAAAGCTTTTTCTTGTGAACAAATAAACAATTGTTTAATGAAAACAAGGGGCTAAAAAACCTTATGCAAGCATGCCTTATGTTGGCGTTCGGTTCGATATTGTTCCTTTTCTTCTTCTTCCAAGAATTCCTCAAGATAGCTATATTTGTAGGCTTTGGAAGTATATATCTGTAGAGACTTGAGATGAAACCTCCTTTTTCACGACATTGTTGGGATACGTTGTTTTGTTTGGAAATGAAGAATTTCAATTCTGTAGAAACTTATCAGAAAGCTGAACTAGTCTATACGTTTACTCTATGGCCTGCCTTCCTGCCATTGTAGCAGTAAGCAGTGTCAACAGTTTTCCTGCAAAACACAGGACAATAACAAAATTCAACACGACAAAAGATAATCCAACTCATCCTTGATTGCAGTGCAATCAGAAAACACCGGTTGCTGCCATTTGTCCGGTTAAGTTCCTATACAAAAAATCAAATACAACGAATTGAATTTTTTTTTTAAATTAATATAAAAAAACTTTATATTATCACTATAACATGAAACATTTATATGTAATTAATTAAATATTTAAGTTGACTTATTTCATAGATATTTATTTTCATATTTACGTTTGATTAATTAAACATATTTTACGCAATTTATTAATGATATTGAGTTTATTTCATTTATATTTTAAAATTAAAAAAAATGAACTAAATTAACCGTTAAAACCTAATTTATTGAAAGCCAATTAAACTAAAAAATGTTTTTTAAATTAATTTGGTTTATTTGATTAATTTGACTTAATCAATTTCTTACTCACCCTGTATAAGATAAAATTATAGGGAATAAATTAATTAACTTTAAAACTAACAATCTTAAAAAAAATTAAATTTAAAATAAAATTAAGACTTAATTCATCTATTTTAAAAATTAATATAATTCTAATAAATATTTAAAACAAAACCCAATAGTTTGGGGTGGGGGCAGCCGGGCAGGGCTCCTCCCACGTGATATAAGGTTCCGTTCCTGGTCACAGGCTTTACGGCCCAAAATCTATCTAATTCAATTATCTTTATGTGAGTGTATTTTAGGCCCAAAACGTTATTCACCCCATATTGACAGTTTACCCGAACTTGGATGAGCTTATTATATAATCCCTCCTGCCCATCAAAATTATTTTTTTATTTTAAATTTGTCCTCTTAAAATATTTTATTAAAAAAAATTAACAAATAATTACATTTATATTTCATTTCCCCCTTATTCTTTTATACCCAACAAAACAAATATGTCATCTGTTAAACCTATTGATCACTTCTTTTAGAATAAGTTTATCGTTTCTCTCATTTTATATGACTTTACATATGATCAAATTTATCTCTTAAAATTACGCATTTGATTAATAAGAGACAAAAAATAATGGGACAGAGAGAATATATTCAAATTCAATTCTTATTTAATTTTTGGTTAGGTTGCTACTGTTAATAACCAAGAGGTCCATTCAGGATTTTCCTTTATTTTTTTATATTTAATTTTGAGGAAAAGTATTTTCATAAACAAAACGGTAGTCACAAAATGTAGGCTGGTTTTGATGTTGATTTTAAAATCACAAGGGTAAGTTCTTTGTGGTAAGGCCGACTGAAAATGCAGCCTCGAGTTTCGGCATAAATCAGCTTTTGGGTCCATTGGGTGAGGTCAGTTGACTTCAGCCTTACAGAAGGGTCGCCATGTACAGAACATGCTTTGGATCTTCCATTAGAAGGCATCCATCACACCTTATTCTCACACCCTTTTCTTTCCTTCCTGAAAAATGAGATTTAGGGTTATTACGGAGTTTCTTCATCGTATATGCTTCAAGCTCGATTTAGATTTGAATATAAGATATTATTAGACAATTGAGTGAAGATTTGATGCTAGTATGTTTACCTTTTCTTAACAAAAATATTTATTCACATAATTCATGTCCATCAACAGAAATCAAATACAATCAATTAAAAAAATTGAGGGAATTTGATAATATAACATGCTAAAATAGAATTGGGTCATTATGAATTAAAACAAGCAAGGGACACATATCGAAGTGAGACTATCCCGATCATTAGTTTCTTACTTTTCCTTTTCAAATTTTCACTGGAAATATGTGGAATTTTCAAGATAAAAATAATCAAGTGGCTGCGGTTCACCCAAGAAAAGAGCAAGCAAAGGCATTGTTCCAATGGATATGCTTGTTTCAAGGAGGGTATATAAGTAAGGCAGTAGCAAGCAACTATCTAGTAAGGCGAGTTTCTTGAGGTGCAACTGCAATATTACAGGGCAATATCTCCATTGGCAGGCAGCCACTTAGACATGCATTCATGTACGTAGTGTGCTCTCTGCCAAAGGAGATTTGCCCGGCAATTCTTTTGCACTACCATTCATCTCTCCTTTTTCTCAATTATTGTTCCATTGAGATTGCAAATATATGAACACTTGTCATTATGTTCCTGGCTTTTTCCTTACAGCTTCTAAAAGGTAAACGTAAGCCGAATTATATCTGCTACACCATGTCTTCGAATTAGTTTCTGATTCTGACACCAAAGTATTAGTTGATTTGTTCCCTCGATTTCCAGGTTTTTCAATGATCCACATGCACAATATCATGGTGAACAAGGCACACTGTAATCCATAGCAAAGCACAATAAACAAATCAACAAGAAAAAGCAAGATATGGTACCAAATGTAAATTTTCGATCTCCTTCCATAGGCAAGGAGTCTAAGCTCATCTTCTCGCTTCAGTAGAACTAAGTAATTATAAATCTGGTTTATGGTTGAAATAATAATAATAATAATAATATATTTTGATCAGAAATATATATTCAGTGGCCTTTTGTTGGAGTGTAGAGCCGGTTTACGTTGCTGCTGCTTCATTGAAAGTAAAGAAAGATTGCTACATTGTGATGACAGCTCAAAAAAACAGCAGCATCTTCCGTTTTGGAAAAGGTGGTACTTATAGATGCTCGCGATTGCATGCGTGCTGTTCAACGTTGATTGATGCGATGAGTTATACAGCATATATACTCACAAGGCAATCGACTCCATGTATTTTACCTGCAGTCGCATACGGTACGAGTAATTCAAAGATATGATTATGTTTAA